TGTTTTCTGCATCAGGAGGCTGAGCTCTATGGACTGCATCCCCCAGGCTCCCTTGCCCTCTGGCTTCAGCATTCAGCCAATGAGAGGCAGTGGCAGGAGATCAGAGGGTGAGAGGAGAGAGTATACATTCCCCACTCCCCTTCCTCCTAACCTGAAGGTCTGGATGTTGTTTCCTCCCATCTTCCAGCTCCAACTCACAGGATTTCTGCAGGCTTAGGGGTGACAACGGTTTCTAGCTGTCCCTAGTCTCTGGTCCCTCACTCTCTTTGGCTTGTTCCCATAACCCTGCCCTCACTTTCATTCAAGTCTTTTCAGTTAAACTCTTTACTGTGGCATCTCCTTCCCGTTAGGAGTCTGAATGCTATAAATACATATTATTTTATTAAAATTACATTTATTTCATGACTTTATTATATATTATATTTAGGGCATTTTTTAATCATGTGTCTAGGGTTTTTTAAATTTTTAATTTTTTTTTTTTTTAATTAAATGGAGGGGCAGAGGGAAAGGGAGAAAGGGAATCTTAAGCAGGCTCCACACCCAGCGTGAAGCCCAATGTGGGGCTGGATCTCACAACCCTGAGGTCATAACCTGAGCCAAAATCAAGAGTGGGATGCTTAACCAACTGAGCCACCCAGGCCTCCTTAAGGTAGGTTTTTTATTTATAAGATTCACTGTAAGATTGCAACAATTTATTTTAAATATTTTTCTAAAGAGAAAATGTAGCAATGACATGTAGCAATCACACTAACATATAACTTGGATGTAAATGTATGTATTTACATACGTGTATACCTCAAAATACACGTTCTGTTTGGGAAACCCTATGGAGGTTAGTCAAGAATGTCAACTCAGGGATCCTCCCAAAACCATCAGCTCTTTTTAAAGTAAGGCAACTGAATAGTATCTAAACTCAATCCTTATTTACATTCAAGTTCTCAGGATCCAGGACGGAAAGACCAAGTTAGCAACACTCTCTAGAGAGTGGTACCCGAATAGGGATGCTCCTGTAGGAATGTCATACTTCTGTGCACACACAACCTTGACCTCCCTTGGCCCCCCTCAGGGTACAGCCACAGTATATGCATGCACACACACACCATGCAACCTCTGGGTAAATTCAATCCCACTATTTTTAAGCTGCAGCCCCACAACCAGCTTCACCTAATACTCATTTTTCACACACACACACACACACACATATTTTGGCAAAAGAACAGAATGGCATCCCAGGAAAGTGGCTGGAATCCAGGTCAATTGTAAAAGACCAGAACAGCCTGGGTCCTACTTGTTTATGCCCAAACCATAGAAAGGCTTACAGAAAGCCTAGTATAGCTGGTATAACTTTAAGTCTGAGGAATGTTAGATGCCAGCCACAATACAGACTAGTTACTTTCTAATAAATATATATTTAATAAATGCACAAATTAAGGAGAAGTTCCCTCAGGAGAGAGATTCCTAGTCAAGGGCCCTCCCAACTGTATTTTCTTCCCTCTATTCCCTTTGTACACCACACACCCATGCCACAGACCCTTATAAAGTTCTCCAGATCACAGCTAGTACTAGCACTTGTGAAGCATAATAGGAGTATCAACTACTGTTTTTGTCCAAATCATCTTGATTGGAGGCACAAAGAAAAATCTTGGTTCTCCCTTACAGACCTGGCCTTCCCTATAGACCTACAAATGGTGGATACTCACCATACAGCAGGGGCTCCCCCAGTCCCAGGTTTATAATACCTTAGGGATCTGCATCTGCCTCATCATCCATGACTCCAAATACCCCACCATTCCAACAGAAAATTACTGTTTCAAAAGGACTGATTAATTGCAGAGAATAGATGTTCTAACCCATTTTCAACACTTTGCTAAGGCTTGAGACAAAGTGAGAGTGCCAGTTTTCATCTCCTGCTCCCCATGTTTCTCTCCCCTCACCCAAGGTCCACAGACAGACAGGGGGAAGGGCAAGGAAAGCTACGATGAGGTGGAGCATCTGGCTAAGCAGATTCCACTCCCGAGGCAATCCATTATCTGGGGGAAATTATGGTTTAACATCAACCATTTGAGTTGTTGCAAATACCCTTTTCTAATCGATGTTAGGCATTTCCTAATTGCGTATTTTCTTCAGCATGAGAAACTGTAAGCTTGGTAAATTATCTACTTTAATATCTCACGTAATATACAATTCGAGCATCAGAACAGCAGTTTAGAACAGCAAGCATCACACTTTTGAACTAGGATAATTTTTGAGATTTTCCAGGCTCTTCCTTAAGTAGCTGTTTCTGGTGACGTATTATATAAAGCCCTCAGATACCCACTAATTGATTTAAAACCCAGTTAGGCACATTACAAATACCCTTGGGCTTTTTATTATCTTGGTCTAACAGAAAGCATCAGAATCATTATTATCAATCGCAACAGGATCCATCAAACAAACAGCGTGTATTATACTGGCATCCTCCTTTGGGAAGAGAAGACCAAAAATAAATAAATAGACAAACAAAATTAAGCTCATCAGCAATATCAACTGATTCTCCAAAATAACAGCTTCTTTTATTATTGTGGGGCACATATGATTTCATTCCCATGGTCCAAAGGAAGACCAAAGATGCACTCTCATCACTGGCTGAGCTTACCTCATGCACTAGATCTTTCAATTCTGACAGTTCCAAAGTCTAAGAAAACTCAGCAGTATTTCGCTCTATTTTACTGTGAAGTGTTAGAAGGAGATAGGAGAAAGCAGTGGGGTGGGGGGGAACAGAGGAAAGGCTGACAGGGACTTTCTGAGGAGAAACTGACAGAGTTACTAGCCTTAGTCGAACAATTTTAAGCAACTGATGAAACATTTAAAAAAATGCAATCATGACCTTGATGTTAGGAATATTCCTGTGAGACAGGCCCTTGAGTAATGACATTAACTCCCCTCAGGAAGGAACCTTATAACATGACCAAGCAATAAACAAAAACTGCAGTCATTATATAAATATGTGTTATTCATTGGTTTTCAACTTTTAACATTAAACAAAAACACAGAAGACAGAGCAGTGGTTGCAAGACAGAACGAAAAGGTAAATCACGTGAACAATGTGAAAGTAAATATGGCACTGAAAAGGTGCAATGTGGAAAGGAGTAGGATAAGAAAGGGGTCCACACTCTAGAGCTTCAACTTAAGAAATTGACTGAGGGGCGCCTGAGTGGCTCAGTCAGTTAAGAGTCCAACTTCCGATTTTAGCTCAGGTCATGGTCTCAGGGTCATGGAATTGAGCCCCAGCTCAGGCTCCACGCTCAGTGCAGAGTCTGCTTCTCCCTCTCCCTCTGCTCCTCCTCCTCCCTACCCCCCCCCACCTGTTCATACTCTCTCTCTCTCTCTCTCAAATAAATAAATAAATAAAATCTTTAACAAAAACAAAATTGATTGAAAGTTGATGGGACAGGGCGCCTGGGTGGCTCAGTTGGTTGGGCAACTGCCTTCGGCTCAGGTCATGATCCTGGAGTCCCGGGATCGAGTCCCACATCAGGCTCCCTGCTCAGCAGGGAGTCTGCTTCTCCCTCTGACCCTCCACCCTCTCATGCTGTCTCTCTGTCATTCTCTCTCTCTCAATAAATAAATAAAAATCTTTAATAAAAAAAAAAAAGAAAGAAAGTTGATGGGACACAAAGTGAACATGCAAGTTACAGGGTTTGGTTTTTTTTTTCCAAGTTTTCATTTAAATTCCAGTTAGTTAACATACAGTGTGATATTAGTTCAGGTGTAGGAAGCAGTGACTCATCACTTACATACAACACCCAGTGCTCATCACAACGCAAGTTATAACTTAAAGGCAGGGGCAACCAACAGACGGAGTAAATGTAATAATGGAACATTGAGAGAAGACAGGGGATAGAGAAGAATCAGGGCAACTGAGCTAAAGCCCCATTTTCAAAGCAGAGACTCAACAGATGTTGCAAAAAGATGATAAAGAAAGAAACATGGATATAATCATATTATTTAGAGTCTGGCAGTCACTTCCAAAAAAAACAAAAAACAAAAACAAAACCAGTTAGAAAAGATTACCTCTGGTGAATGGCCAGAAATAATCATTTTTAACTTAAGTTCTTCTACTTTGCTTCCAAATACACATATTACAAGGAAGAGGAGAAGGAGGGAAGAAGAAGAAGCTCAGCCAAGATGGAGAGCAGGAAAATGCCATTTTAAAGAAAATAAGAGGGGTTGGGGAATGGTTAAGAACTGGTTAAGAAGCCAGAGTTTCATGTCTGCCTCCTCCAATGATAGGTGTATGATCAGAGGATAGCAGAAAGAAGCCCAAAGAAGGGATCACAAGGCCTGTGTCCCAGCCATGGCTCTGCTCCTAGCAGTGTGACCAGAAGCATGTTATTTAACCCCTCTGGGCCTCAGTTTCCACATCTGTAAAATGAAAAGGTTAGCCTAGATCATATCTAATGCCACAGGGTCCCAGGGCCCATGTTCCTGGGTTCCCACTCAAATCCTGAAAACAGAACCAAGTAATTTTGAAAGTAATACTTCACAGGTTGTTAGCTGGGTTTTTGTTTTTGTGTTCAGGATTTGAATGCAAATCCAGTGATAAACCCTACTGGTTCATCAATCCCCCGGGGCCCCCTCTGGCTCAATCAACCCTCCCAGAAACGAAAAGATTCAGGCCTCTCATGTTGTCGAAGTCATAACTGGCAACCAGTCAAGCCTTCCAAAGAATTTACAAGGTGACGGGCCCGCTTCAATATCTGAAAAGTCCTCCAGAAGACACATGAAGGAGGTGGCAAAATCCCACAGCTAACCCCACCAGGATCCATATCATTAACAAAGGTTCGCAGGCCCAGATGGGAAGTGTAGTCTGGAGAATGAAGTGCCTGGGGGCCAGGGAGCTTGTCAGAGCCAAACGAATTCTGAGGTATCCAACAATAAATTAAGCAGATCTGAAAAACAGTTGGAAGCAATAAAAATGAAACCACACATACACCGCCCCCCCAAAAAAGTTCACTCACTGAAGTGGCTTCTTGCTGCTTCTTGTCTCTTTCTTTAGTAGATTCCAATCTTTATAAATATCTTCTCCAAGTCAAAGGAAGGAGCCAATGGGAAGAAGAGAAGGCCTGGGGTGTACCTGAGGTCGGCTAGGAATGTGAGCTAGTTGTGTAATCAGAAGCCACCTTTTGGAAATGCCAGAGAAAATAAAAGACCCTTGAGTCATCAACTTCTTTATCTTGCTCTCCCAGCTGTGACACCCCCCTCCTGCAAACACACACAAACATACACCTCCCACTCCCCACCCCCAGCAGGAACATGTGCGGGGTCCATGTTCCAGGGACATGCTGAGTGAACATTCCAGGGCACTGCTTTCTCTCCACCACAAACATGGTGTAGGATCACTGAGGTTGGGTTCAACTGAAGCAAATGGCTACATTAAGGGGATGAATGCCCTAAGGCACTCAGTTGGTTGGTCCACATTTCTCCCTTTGTAGGTTTATAGCAATGAAAAGAACAAACACATATGACAGGACCATTCAGAGTTGAACTCCCTCTGGAAGAACATTATCTTCCTTTCTTAGGATCAGTCCCAATGGAACATGCCATCATAACTTGTCATATGTGAATGGGAAGATTTGTCAAAGAAGGGTTATAGAAAGAGGAACTAGCATTTGTTGAGCATTTACTGTGTACTGTATTTCAAAAAACAGATATGTGCCAGGCACCGAGCTTACACGTACAGAGATAACCACTGCTGACGTTCAAGGAGGGCTTTCCAAGCCCCGGGCTACATGTATTTCCTTATTTGCTTCTCAAAAGAACTCCATGAGGTAGGTAGTGTTGTGATCTCCACTTCCCAGCTGAAAGGTTAGTCACTTGCCCAAGGTCACAGAGCTGGCAAGGAACAGAATCAATATGCAAGCCCAGCCAGTCAGACTCTCCTGTGTCGCCCATGTGGGAACAAGGAACGGCCTTGCCTTTGAGGTGCTCAGAAGAGGAGCTATTACAGCTCACACTATCCGGCACATGGCAGGCACTCCATGAATGATTTTGTTTAACTCCAGCAGCACCCTTATGAAGCAGGGAAAACGATTGCTATTTTATCAAGAATTGCGCTCAGAGATGCCACCCAGCTATTAAGAGGCAGAGCAAAAACCAAGACCCAAAACTGTCTGGTTCTTTCATGCTCTCAGCTCTCAGAGAGAGGCGCGATGAAGACTTTACACCCTAGCATACAAGGAACATTTGGTTCGTATTTTCACTGGTGTCATATTTTGGAAGCTGCCGGCAGCCACATCATCCTGCCAAGTCAGCCCCAAATGCTCCAGTGTGTGTACAGCTTCCTTGGGCTGGGGGGAGGGGAACCCAAAACAAACAGATCAACCAAAAACAACAACAAGGAAACTGTGGGCAGAAACCGTCAGAAGGGACAAAGTAGGAGGGGAAGATGGTCTGTACTGAAGGTTCCTTCGGAACCACAAGTGTTTGTGGGCATCTTTCATCGTTCCCTCAAGGAAAGGCGCCCAGGCTGCTCTAAGGGCTCCAATCAGGGGAAAGCAGCAGAACCAAGGAATTATGAAAGTAACGCTTAGTGTATTTTTGGTGAGTTTTTGTTCGGTCTTGTTTGTTGAGGTGGTTTTACTGCTGCCATGTGGAAGCCCCGGATATCAGGGCAAAGCAGCAACCATTCCCTCACCCTAGAAGTACACTGAGAGAACACCAGCTTCTGAAGCCTACTTTCATTCTTAAATAAAACCCTTTACCCAAAGATTCTTATTTTCTTCTTCTACTTGACTTGGCTGTTAAGGTCCACAAAGTAATTTCCTCTTTCTGCAGCCTAGTCTAGAATCAGATTGAGCCTGTCTGAAGAGAGAATTATTCTGCAAGATAAATGGCTCTAGAATCATCTGTTGTGAAAGAGGCCTGGCTCCATCACAGAGAGTTTATGTATCACCTTTTCTTCTTGTTTAACATTTAAGATTCAGGGGAAAAAAAAAAAAAAACCTTGATAGTGATAGCCTCACAGGGAAGAATCATGTCCCCACTCTACTGTGGGTTTGGGGTGGCAGAGTTCTCTCAAAAATTCTTTCTCTCAAATTCTTCACTAATTAGATTTTCTCTGGCATCAAAGGGAGTTGAAATAAGCTCAGGAAACAGGGCCAACTGCTTCAGGGGCTGAGGAATAGGCCAACAGGAGAGAATTTCTCACCGTGCTATGTTAATCCATGAACAAGGTGGCAGGGCTAAATGAGCTGAAGTCAGGCTTCTTTCCTTCTTCTTCTTCTTTTTTTTTAAGGTACAGCTTCTCCTCTGACAGAGATGTCAGTGGAAGAATGTTTCCCCTGAAGATACTTGGTTGAAAGGGACAATGGTTAACCAGCTAAGGTTCACTGTTTCCTCACCATAGTTCAAAGCTAGCTACCAACCCTCTTCATTCCATGTCCACCTTTACTATTTTCCTCAGAAAACTGGCACACTCGTTCCCTCAGGGGCCCCTGCTGAGAGAGAAGAGAATCTGCAGCCTGGGAGGCCTTTCTCTAGGGTGGAGAAGACCTCTTTGTTTTGAAAAGATACTTCTAGTCATATTGTTGCCAAGACTTTTTCTTCTCCCCAGATTCCAACTTCTTAATCACTGAATATTTCCTGATACAGAGATTCAGGCACATGTCAAGAAGAATCTCATAAGCTGGCATAGGCGCTGCAAAAACCTTCCACAAGTCATTTAATGGTATCGTTAAACATAAAAGAATGCTGACTGACTGGTGGAGGGGGAAACCAGGAAAAAGAACCTTCTGGATTTTGTACAGAAACCAAACTATTTCCAAGTTTCAAAACTGAATTTTCCAGAACAAAATCATTCACACTGAATCTAACTTCCAACGACCCAGCACCCTTGTCTTCTGTGTGCTGCTAAATATGATCTCAAAATGCCATTCTGACTTTTTGGGGGATCTACCAATACCATTCCCACACCGCACACAACCCTGCTGCCTTTGGGTATCTAGGGCTGGGTCAAAGCTGCAGAGGGAGAACCTGACGGCTGGAGAAGCAGTTGTCCCAAAGGGTCATTATCATCTTAAGTTCATTTCCATCTGATAACATTGGTCACTAGGTGGGGAAGCAAGATGGACCGTGGCTGAGGAGGTGAGGGTAGAAGAGGCGAAGGGTCCAAGTTAACAGCTTGGAGCCTGTGTTGACTTGCCTCTCCTCGTCCTCTTAGCTATGTGACCTTAACATACACACATGCTCAATAAACATTTCTGGAGTGAATGAACGACTTAACTTCTCTAAGCCCAGATTCCTTGTCCACAAAACAGAAATAATAACTGTTGGGAGAGAATTCTTCATGGATCTCTTGCTATTCTATATGTCTGAGAAGCAGAAACCTTCATTCCAGAATCTTTCAAACATGTTTGTACAGCAAACAGTCTCAGAAGACAGACTTAGTGTGTCCCTCTGAGGCAGAAGGCAGGTTTGCTTACTGTCCAGTATATTAAAATAATCTCTCCTGAAGGGGCAAAGGTCAGGCAAGGCTGCTTACCACAACAGAGATTGGGATTTCTAAACTCATAGTGCCTCAGCCGTCCCACAAACCCATGGCATGCTCAGCATCCACCTGGGCCAGACTCCATGTCACCTCTGCAGGACCTGGGGCCAGGTAAACTGATGGGAAGATGAACCCACCGCTGCTTGCCTGCCTTAAGTAATAAAGAACTTTGTTTGTGTCCCAGAGATCTCGTATCTTCTACCAGCCTCCAGGAAACTCCAGGCTAATTGATTAGTTTTCGTGTCGAGTAAAACCCCAGGTCTTCATAATTCTTGACAATAGCAATCTCTACCTCACAGAGTTGTGTACCTTAAATGAGACAAGCTCTGCAGGGTCTGGTCCAAAGTAAATATTCAATTAAAATTAGCTTCTATTACTAACCTATGTAATGAATGATCTTTATATGTGTGTGTGTGTGTGTGTGTATTCAAACAGCATATCATCATACACGCACTCACTCTAATTATTCAATAAGAGAATATAATCTAAAGTATGAGTAAGTGGTCATAACAATATGAGGAGACTTGGTTATAATTCAAGATAAACTTTGATACTGGGTCCCAACAGTACAGTGATTAATATGGCTTCAACCACATACTATGCAACTTCGTGGTTAAAATCCATAAAGAGCTGGATTCATATTCTCATTCTTCCACTCACAAACTATAAGACCTGGGGTAAATTATGCAGAGGAGTTTTATCTTCCCAAATGTAGAAATTAAAAGTACCTACCCTTCACCAGGTACTACGAGGACTAAACAAGATAGCGGCTTGTAAAATGTTTAACACAGTGCTTGGCACATAACAAACATCCACCTGTTATTTTATTCAAAGAACACCAACATCAAGACATGAGATGTGATTCTATTTGTAGAACTATTTATATTTTCCAAAGTACTTTTATGTTAGCTCTCTTAACCCTCTCCGTAATTCTGGGAGGTAGGCAAGACAAGTATGAGCCCAATTTTACAGATGGGAAAACTGAAGCTAAGGGAGGTTAAGTGGCTTTCCCGAGATCAAAGATCTAGCAAATAGCAGACATTTTATTTTTTAGTTTCTTTCCATGTGCACAGCCACTAGAGATTATCAAAAGGTAAAGATCTCTCTGTGCTTTTGAGTAACGGAGCTCACATATTACCAGGAGCTGGCGAATGCATTTGGCTCAGCATGACAGCCTTACGGGCTTGAAGCTCTCAACCAAATGCAAACTTTTGGTGTGTTTGCACTTAGGTTTTGCCAAGAGTAGATGGCTTTCTATTTTTAAAAAGGAAGGGGAAAAGAACATTGGAAGGTATTTAAACCAAGCTCTAAAGTCTTCTTGGACACCAAATGACTCTTAGAAAACAACATTTTGATGAGTTAAGTATAAATGAATCAAAGACATATGGACTAAATTTCCCTTGAAATACACAAGGGTCTAAAAATTAAGGGGAAAAAATGCATTGATAAAATACATTTGGGATTTTATTGAAACCAAAACATTTACAAAACCATTACACATCCAGATTCACCCAACCTTGGTATGTTCTCTTCTGAAGGCCATGGCCAGCCTCCTCAGACCTTCCCAATAGGCTGCCAAACATATCCTTTATGCCAAAAAAAATCATTGGACTCCAAGCCACCCCACAGCAAGGT